ACCTTGACATAATTACATCAAACTATGACATGAAGATAAGCAGTCAAGATACTGAAGGCACGAAGCCTATATCACCGTATTTCCCAACTTCATGGCTTACCTTCATAAGTTTTTTTAGTGATCGTTAACGCCAAATTAGTGGTTTACGTGACCAGAATCATTTTAAAAACATATTGGTGTAGAAAATGTGATACTAAAGTTCAAAAACTGTTTTGCTTTAAAACAGAGTAGAATAATCAGTGCTGCAAAATATATGCACCACTTTTCACTGCTTAAATCAATTGTTTAAAAATTTCTTGGATAAAATAGTTATATCCCACATGAAGTGGAGTGTCTGTTTATTTTTGCTTATTGTTCTACATTTTCTGTTTAGATCGTTTGTTTTTTTATCAGAAATCCATCTTCCTAAAATAAATTTTACATGGCATTAAGAAATACCATGCAAAAAAGGCTTGAATTCAAAAACATCATTTCATCAACTTTGAACTGGAGTTAACTTCGAAAGTTTCTTTTAGCTTTAACTTCAAAGATTAATTTTTATAAACAATAAGGCAATAAATCTTTCACTTTAAATAATGGTTTTGGAAAATTTTTTTTTTTTTTTTATTTCAAAGATTTTTTTTCTTAGCAGAGCAAGTTGGTAAAAACAAGTAATTGGTATTTCTGGCAAAAATTTCTTGCTATTACTATGACACATCAGTTTGACAGTTTGGGTTGGTATCTCTTCCTTAAAACGTAATATGAGCTGCAATCAGCGAATCATATGCAACAAGATATAGTTTCTGTGTATCTGTCAATCAATCCATCGTAAATTATTAAGGCTGATTAATTAGCCATTCGAATATGACATTTGCAAACTTAAAATCTTCCATCTTCTCAATAGTAAGAAAGTTTAAGAATCGGGCTTTAGCAGTCTATTTATTAATAAATTGGCTTTTATCATTTCCGACCAAGGATCAAATATTGCATTTTTATCAAGCCTTTATTATCGTGTAAATTACCTTCGTTTGAAATATACTTTATTTTATCGGGAAGAAATTTCTATTCACAGCGTTAGGTGGAAAAATCATATAAGAAATCAATGCCTCCACCTAGTGAAAAGGATGTGCAAAACACGTGGGCAGCATGAATACATCCAGAATGACATTCCAAGTCTGTTCGATTGGAAAAGGAAACGAAGAATTATGGATGAATTTAGATTAGAAGGATTAACATTTGAGCTCGTTATTAGCATTGTAATGCACCTCTCAGCATTGCTATGTTCTACCCAAGCCTGTACTATCTAGGCTACATATTTCATGTATCTAACTGATTATGAAGTACTTCATATTTAAATAAATTATCATCTTCCATGAAAAACTTTTTTTATCTTCTAAAAAATAATAATTGCAAAAAATAAAAAAGATTTTTGATTAGAATTCCACGAGTTCATTTCATTATTGTAGTTCATTTCAGCATGTGAAACAGGTGTTTAAATGTCAGAATCTTCTTAGAGAAAAACTGAAACTAAGGAGACACGTAAATCTAATGTAACTGTCGAAACTATAGAAGATTAATAGTACTATATTTTTAAATTCTCCCTAGCTTTCTGATTTGCTTCAAATTCAATGAAACTTTTTGGTTTGTTGATGGTTCATTTTACTATTGGGAAGAAAGTTATTCCAACTCCAATTTATTATTATTTCAATTATTCGTGTAGTCCTGTGTCCTAAATAACTGAATGATCTTCATAATAAATTTAAAAGTGCAAACGGAATAGAATAATTAACTCATCGAAGTGTTGTTTTATTGTACGAAAAATTCGAATGATAGTTGAGTCCAGTTTTCAATTTCAAAGCAATTAAATTGCAAAGCTAATAATTATTTGATTTACCCATCCTGCCAAAACCACAAATTCGCAATGAATAATGCTAATGGCAGAAATTCCTATGTAATGATGCGAAAGATAAAATTAATCCAATGGATTTAATATCATGCAGTTTGAGATGAAGCAAGCCTGCTTCAGTCGTTTGTCTTAGAAAAAGGCAGGCATATATTATGTTTGAAATTGTTGTAGTAATCATAGTTTTTTATGCGTTTGAATGTCTATAAATATTTAAAGTAGTCATATATCTAAAAATTAATAAGCATTAGAGATTTGTAAGTACAATTTACAAACATGTTACTTTCCGAGCTGAAACTAAAAGCAAGTGCCGTGGAAAATATTTGTTGAAACAAATTTGGGAAGAATTATTGAAGGTATATAAAATAAAAATGAGGTGCTAGATTTATGTAGAAATCAAGACGGTATTAATCTGTTCCTTACTTTAGGGTCAATAATAATAGATACAAAAGTTATCAGTTAATAAATTTTAGTTAATGGGACGAGAGAGTAACACAGAAAGTAGGGCTGAGAGAAAACGACAAATATTCAAGCTAAGCACAATTCAATTGATTTTGTGATTTTTTCCTCATTTTAAAAAGAATTGTGATTATTAGTAGATTATTTATGTTAGGAAGCATTTTGGATATTGTGTTCAATGCGATGGGCTGTTGAGGGAGCATTTTTCGAATTATCCAAAGCGATATGTAATAGGAAATAAATAAGGAAGATGACCAAGAAGGACGGTTACTTACCGAAACAGATCGGCTGTATAAGAATTGCCAATTTAATGGAATGGATAATATTAATTCGAACACCGTCAGTTAAATAACCAAGGAGTAACTGGATGAAGAGAGTTGGAATGCAAAAAGAGATGAGCGAGCAGAGTTCCAAGCGCGTACAATTTATGGAGCAAGAGTAGAAGATCCATAGATACGGTAACTGCCCGTAACTGATTGGTTTATTTCATCTCCATTGATTTGTTCTATTGGCTCACCAGCATAATGCTGGACGTTTCAACCTCACAAACCCGTGAAAGACCCTGCTTTCAAAAGTAAAAACTTACGTTGGAGGCGTTGCGGCTTGCGCTGCGTACCATGTGCAACTGCTGCCTATGACACGGAAAGGAAGGCAAATTTGTAGACATCACATACATGCATACATATACACAGACACATACATACTGGGATCGGATGATACAAGACGGTGCTCTGGAACAAGCCTTTTTCGGACGTCCATCCAAAAGTTCTGCTATTCTGATCCATTCTGGTAAATCTTTTTACTGATTCAGTTTACTTCTTCATGAATTTTTTCTAAACCCGAAGTATGAGAAATTTTAGAGTGTGAGTGTGATCAAAGAACTACACCAAGATAAGAAAAATTGTGCTTTGGAAGGAAAATGCGATCGACTAATTGTTGTTTTCAGTATCGACGATGCCCTATTGGTAGGTTGTCTTTTTGAGTTGTGGAATGGCTTTTTCGTTGCAAAAAAAATAGTTCATTTGCGAATAATATATTGTAGGAAGAAAAGGATACCCCTGAGTGTAGTTGGTGAAGCAGAAACAACTGCACAGCTCACATACAGACATCGAATATACGCCTGATTAGGCCCTTCGCCTCTCGCGTGTCGGTTCACTTAGTCTTCAGCAAAATCATTTGATTTCACGCGTGAACTGCCATCCCTTTCCTTTTCTTCCAAATATACACCATCAGTGACAGCAACGGGAGGAGCAGGAGTAGTAGTATTACCATCTTCTTCAGCATCATTCTTATTCTACCAGCTACTGCTTCCAAACAGACAGAATCCGTTTATCTAGGTGCTTTGTTCAAGGTTTCCCAAAAGTTACGCAACCCAGCTTTGTTCTGAAATTGATGTTACCAGCTGATGGTAAACTACGTTGGCCATGATATCATCTCTTCCTCAGTCCGACAATACATCTGAATTTTTGTTCAACTAAAAATACCACTGTCAGATCAATTCCATATTATTACATTAGCATAGAAAGATCAAGCTGTATGAAATAATTTCAGTATTAAACGCTGAATCCATATTTATTTTGAAATTTATGAAAAACCACAAAACACTTCCATTTTTGCTACATCTATATTTATTTCCCATATATTTATTTATTTATTTATATATGAAAACACTTGCTTGTACTTCTTTTATGCTTTGAACATTTTTCAAAACTTGTCTTTGTTTTGGAAATTAAACTTTGTGTAAGTTTAGAAAACGTCCTACCTTTTAAATGTAAAAATTTAAAAACTGAAATTAATTTGAAACATTGTTAAATATCAATTTACGCAAATTTCAATTTCCCATCACTCGAAAAATCATAATTATGATGGAGACTACTCTTCTTGCTCCTACAGTTCTTTTCCATAAGGAATTATATTTAACTGTGTTATAAAGTTTCATATATCTATCATTATTTTGCAACTTGGAACAAAAGTTGTCTTAAAATATTTTTGTACTTGTTATCCTCAAAATACTGTCAGAGGTCTCAACAAAAGCCATTTGTAATCACAGTGATATACTTTGGCAAATGCTGTTCTACATTTGCATTCTGTATCACATGTGTGTTACATTGGTGATACCATTACTTTCCTTATTTTCTCCTTTTCATTAATTCTAATTTGGACTTTCGATCACTTTTCGAATTGATTCTAAAAACTTCCTGCTCCATTTATCTTCAGCATTATCTAAGAAATTTCGAAATATGAAAGAATTATAACGTTTACTCGCTACAATAGAAACAGCCTGTGAGTGGTAGGTATTAACTGATGTTGAGAGACATTGCCTTTGTGTTCCGTTCACTGCTTCAATCAGAGCTGTATTTTTATTATTCAAAAATGTGCAAGTACATCAATCTTCTTGACAAGTAATCATTTCAATAAATTTAAATCGAATTACTTATCTCATAAACTATGAGATAAGAATAGACTTAATAATGTAGTTATTCTACAACCCAGGAGTTAATAAGATGCTAAATAAAGTCTGGTTCAACATGGATTGATCTTTCTTACTGTATCTTTCAGGTGATTGGAAAGGAAGTGATTGAGCGTTGTAGTAACTGCAGCAATTGCACAGGCTGTGGTTACTTCGATAACAGCAGCCTGTCGGTGTGGTGTTCAATCGATGTCTTATGTTGCTTTTACAACTGAACATGACCAAAACGTAATGCCGTGCAATCGAGGTGAGTATGCAATTGAAATCTTTTTTTCTTAAAAAAGCTTTTCCTCTTAGTACTTTTCATATTAAATCTATTGAGCTTTACGATGTTCTGGAAAAAAGCATTTTCTGTATTCATTAAGGAGTAAGCACAATTTTTCAGCCTAAAAATTTGTCCTTCTCACCCAAGTTGCTTATTCTTTCCCAATTTTAACTGTAGTTAAAATTTTATAAACTTTACTAAGCACAATTTCTTTTCCAATTTTTCTTTCAGCAGATGAAAATTTTTTGCTGATATTTCGTTCCCCTGGAATCAGAGGCATGTTGAAAACTTCATATCATCCTTATCTCTCTGAAGGAGATTTCTCAATATAAAACTAAAAAAATTGATTGCTATATTTTAAGCTAGAGTAAGCTAGAGTGTTATTCGATTTATTTTGCACTCAAATTTGATCTATTATTAGAAAAAGAAAAAACTTTTCGAATTTCAATGTTGCGTTTAAAATATTCACTGTGTCATTAAGCTTAGAAAGACAGATTACATTACCCATTTATTACTCTGTTCTTGTCCTGTGGATCTTTTCTTGAGAATAACTCAATCAGCTAATTGGTAAGTCTTCGAATTATTTTCCACGTATAAATGTAGGAGAGTGCATAATACAAAGAGAGAGTCAACTTCTTCATCTGCATTATTTAAACTAGGTGTCAGTCACAGCATCACAGAATTAATTTAATTTTGATATTCTCTCGGGGATTCATCTCACCTTCTATTCATTCTTTTTCCTTTCATTAAATGACATTCACGGTACTAATAACATTAATAGAATTTAAATTTACAGCAAGGAAAAATTTCAAATCGAAATTTGAAAAATTACTCGAAAAGATGTACAATTCTTCTTTAATATGATTAAAGATACCAATTTTGACTTTTCAATAACCCATAAATGAATTATCCCATATTGAAAAACTTTTAATACCATCATCATTAATAATTCTAGCTTTATCCGAAGCTATTTTAAATTTAAATGGAAAGTCGTCAACAATACAATTTGTTTGTTGATTTGCTACTCTTTTGAATTACTCTTAAAGTGGTTACACAGGAAATCAGTGTTAGTATTTGTAACATATATTTACCGCACAATATATGCTCACTATCTTAGAAATTTTTAATCTAAAAATTATGAGTATTATTTATTTAAATTTAAGTGAGATAACACTCTCTCGCAGGACATATTAAATATCAACGTTTACCCTGGATAATCATAGATTTAGATTAGATAGGTTTACTGGATATAATAAGTAGTAATAATTGTTCCTTCTATCTTATTCACACTGTTTTCTCTTCTCATATTGTTACAGCTAATAATTTTGTTTCCGGATTTTTTTTAACATAACGACCTTCATTTGGAAGCATTCTTGATTTATGACGGCTCATTTGATTGAGCTTATTTCATTATGAAAAGCCGTATAATTATGAAAAATTGAAGCATCATGGCACCAGGCTTTATTTTTTCTTTTTTTTGTACTCTGATGAATTTACAAATGCATGGCATCCTTTTGATTTTCAGCTTTAAGAAAAACGATTTTGCAGAATTTGTTTAATGACTTTTCCCTGTTTTTCTTTCTTCTATTTCTATCTATATACTAATTCAAAATTTTAAATACAACAGCAAAGTGATAAAAAGTAGTTGAAACTTGAGGGCAAATTTTTCCAAACAAGGGAAAGGTAATGAATGATTTCGGAATTTTTGAGAGGTTTTCTTTTTGTGAAAATCGAATATTTGACAAAGACCGTTACGAATGAAAAATTTAACGATGAACGGAAGTGGTAGACTGTGCTCTAAAAAGAACTATCCATGAACTGCATTGTTAGCAAATTGCGAATTGCCGCCCAAGGTATTTTTGACTATTCATATAAACCAGTTTTTGTTGACATTCAACAACATCTTAAATTTAAGTTGAATTGCACTTAATCCAAGTTTCTTTTAGAAACCTGGTTCTACAGATAGCCTTATCTCGATAGAATTAGAAAAATTGGTTAGGCGTATAAATTAGATTTAAGATATATATACATATATATATATGAAAGAAATCGATGACAAACTTACATTCGCATAATCCTTATAAAACCAAAAAGCAGAATTTTGCCCAACTAATGGAATGAGCCAATAAGATTCTACTTCAGAAGAAGTTTTTGGGACAAGTTTTCAATATTAAATATGGGTGTGCAACAGTATGAATATAAATTTTTTGCTTCAATCTTTAAAAAGAGGTTGAATCCAAAAATTGCCTGGTATAGACTAAATATAAATCCATTTGCCAAATCCAAGTTGATTATATTAATTTAACCTCTCAGTTGCTTGCCAATTAAATTCATAAATTTTATTTCATTGCTCTTAAAATTTGCCATCAGTCGTTTTTTTTTTCTCTTCATAAGTCATCATATTAAACAAAAATTTGATTAGAAGAGTAAGCAGCCAGTCATATGCCACATTCGAAGTTTCTTGTTTGTATTTAAAATAACTAGCCTTACCAATAATTTTCACTCTATTTCATCACTTACTCTTTCTGTCTGCTTTAGTATTGATCAATCAATGTTGAAATCTTTATCAGGTGTTTATCACCTAAAATTTAATTTGACAGGGAGATATGCTGCATTTTGGTATGTTTTACTAAAACTAATTGATTGACCGACTGGGTGAATTGAAAAGTGATGAGAGACAGTGGTAGTAGTTTTGATGTGTACTGCAAATGTGAGAAAATGATGAATGGTCGTTGTAGCTGATCATACGGTTGCTACTAACTGTTGTTCCTCCTCATCTTCGAACTGGCTAATTTTCCAGTTTTTACCCTGAAATTTACGACGATGACAATTATTTTTGTGACACGGAAAAGAATTGACGATAGTAAACGAGTTTGCCCTTCTGGCATTAGGTGATAGCCAGCGCATTGGAGACACTCTGACAACGAATCACCTAATATCGTTTGCTACCGCTTTGTTAGAGGTCGAAGCAACTCATTCAAATCAAAAAATAAAAAATGAAAATAAAAAATAGAAAAAATCATAAATTTATACAGAGAAACTCAAAAGATTTTTATAAGTGTTTTACTTTGTACTTAGCACAACTTTTTGCACAAAACATATGATAAATTGAAAACGTGCTGTCCTCCATTTCCATCACCAAATTAAGGTGAATCTCTTCTAGAAGTCAAGACTTTTACCGACTAAACTTAAAATGAAATGGTCCACGTGGAAAGAAGTAAGCAGTTTTGTTTATGACACTGTTAACACATTTTCATCGATGTATTTAAACATAATAATATAACACATCATTGCCAGTCTGGCAAGTGGTATCATAGAACCACAAAATCACTTGAAGATAAATAATTTTTGCTCAATGAGCTACCACATTTCAGTAATATCGAATTAATTCAACTATACTCCATTTATTTTGGTGATTCTATAACAGAAAGAAACAAACACATATAGGTGGATCATGTCTGATTACTGTATGATGGTATTGAAGGTGTAAGTGTGAAATAAGAATGAATTGAATAGTGTGGGTAGTGGCCAATTATGAAGCATGATATGTAAATAATGGGGAGAGTATCTAGATAGAATTTGAGTTTGAAAGGTATGTCGGTGAGGTGAAAGGTAAGGGGAGATACGGCTCAAATGAGAAGAAAGGCCATTATGATGATTGAGCCGAGTTCCCTTTCAGTAATAGATTAGATATTTCACTGGAAATAGACCACTGGTGATAATAGATATCCAATACTACCAGACAAGGACAGCTCTAAAATTAGATACTTCCTTGGCCTAGGATTCTTTTAATACTTTCCAAAATTGTACTTTTCCAACTCAATTATTCCACTTTATTTGCACATCGCCTCTTCAAGCATAAGTCTCTATTCTCAACATCCGTAATTTCAAACATTTTATGTAGTGAATAGGTTTGCGTAATAAAAATTACAAATGCGAGAAACAGTTATAGCAATTCTCTTAAAATATAGTAGATGGTTAAAATCATATTGAAAATTATCGGTGTTGCACGACTTATATAATGACATAAGAAAAGCTTTACCAATTCCTTTCATCAAGCTCAGGTGACAAAATTTAGATTGAGTTATTGAAAAATAGTGCGATTTATTACTGTGGCAAAATATCCATCAATTATTCAAGCTGATATCCAGTTAGGAATTCTTTAAGGATAGCAAATATCCATGTTCGGTACTTAATCAGCAATGTAAAAACTTGAAAGAATAAAAAATTCGTAATTTTCTTGATAAGCTACCATAAGTTAATCAATTTACCATGATTGACTGAAATCGAGACTGACTGCATTGATTAACTTTTGCATTGGTCTTTTTCCAGTACTGACACCGTCTGTCATTTTATTGTAATTCATTACTGTTGAATTTTGAAGAGTTAAACACAAGGATCAATTAAAACGCTCATGCGCAAATAGAAACACTTATTAAGCGCTACCGTAATCCATTTAAGACAAACTGAACAGTCCCCTTCTTGTATTTTTCCGAAAATTACTTGACTTTTGATAAGAAAGTCAGAAAATCTGATAGAAAGAAATCCATAGAAGTTGAAAACTAGCTAATTTTCCAACAATTTTTTTGCATTGTAATAGTAGCGAAAATGGTGGGAAAAAAATAACTGATTACTTAATAAAATTTTTTATTAAAATCAGATAAGATTTAAAGCTATTTTGAAGCTTTTTATTTTCAATCATGTAGCACAATTTTGGAACAGTGATTAAAATTCGATTCTTGTTTTCAAACTAAAATAATTTAGGGTTATTAGGACAATTACTTAGAAATTTCCATTCAGAAAAATTTATGGAAATTCTTGTCACGATATGTATCCAATTTCGAGGTATGTTTATTTGCTATTGTTTTGAGTAAATAATTTTTCAGCCAGCTCTCTTTTTTTTCTTCAATCTTTTTTTTTTTTAAAAGAAAAGATTTTGGTGTAACTAATTTTGTTCAGCTAGCTCTTTTCTTTGATCTTTTTAACTTTAAGAATAAGATAAAGTTAAAAGTTAGACTATTGTAGCATTGCAAGCATCTCAAGCTATGAACAAATTTTGTAGTGAAGATATTTATGAATACTAATATTTATTTATGTACGTTTACAGTAAATGATGATCTTAATGATTGTATGATGAAAAGTATTCGTCCAATTTCTCGATGGAAATGGACAGTTAGCTCACCAGGAAATGATTGATGAGAGCTTCTAAGAGCGCGTACGATCTAGAAAGAGGACCCCCTACGGTTAAGCCAGATTCCATGGCGGCTACTGTTTTCAAACTGAACCACCATCACTGAAATTTTTGTTACCAAACCATAAGGGCCATTTTATTTACCGTCTACTAAAAATTAATTAATAAAATGTAGTGATATCCAATTTTGATTTTTAGTTTTTTTTTCTAATTTCATTCTTTGCTTGGAAATATAAATTTGGTATTAAAATAGGTTTAGCGACTAATTAAAAGACTACATCACAGAACTGTTGTGTTTAGTAAAATTTTATTAACAGTAAGTGATGATTATAGCTTAATTTTTATTTACAGCCGTTAGTTTATCAAATTTATCAAAACAGGACGTACTACTTGCTTCTTCAGCATCTATATAAACTGTTACTCACCAGGACCGATTTATTATCTGTTTTTCGAGAAAGATTTATGATAATAGGCGTAACAACTCCTTGTCTCATTTACTCCTTTACTAGGAACCACCAACCAACATTGCATTCTACACTTGTTTTAACTCACTGAGAGTGATATCTTGCTATTAGGATGTCACCGTTTAGTCTTAAAGAATTTTTATTTGCAATACCAATTCGGATATCAGAATTAATTAACAATTTGGAATTTTAATTCATTCAATAAAGCTGACGACGCAAACGATCAAAACATTTTAGGTAAAGAACAAATGAATTTTGATATAAACAATTACGGTGGTTTTTTTCCCTTTAAATTCATTTTTATATCAGTCAGTTACAAGAAATAAGAAAAACTTTATTAACAGCATTCCAAAAATTTTAATATCACGATCACAATTAGTTAACAACATAGTTCACATTTATAAACCAGTTCTAATTAAACAATAAATTCGTTACCGTTTGTGAATTAATTGGAGCTCAATGAGAAGATCAAAAAGATGAAACATATGGCAGATTGAACGAGCTGTGTTCGCTTCAGGGATTAGTCGCCCAAATCCTAAAATAATGCTAATTTTGTTCAGAGCGGTATCTCTATGCTCCCGGCAAGAAGCGCTCCACTTTTTATCTTATTGTATACAATGCACTGATCTGGGGGTTTATATATATAACCAAAATTTTTGTCACCTGTACCTTAAAAAATTTTTTATTTTTGAAATTTGCATTTCGAGTACTCGTATATCCGGTTCTCACTTTTGTCCCATCTTTTATACGATATTCGTAGTAATGAAAATTATACTAGTTTCAAGACATAAATGAAAAGATGACTTAAAATTTCAATTTTATAAAATTAAAAGTATTCCAGAACTCAGATTAGAATGTTTGAACAATCAAAGAAGTATAGATATTTGAAAATAAATTTAAGGGGATTAATTTCTCTGTGTGCTCATTTATTTTTTATTGAGTTAATTTCGAGTGAGTAGAAAGAAATTATAATTTGAGATAATAATCAATGAAATGGATTGTATAGAGAATAATATAAAAGGAATGCGAAGAAGTGGCAGTGACCCGTTAAAGTTAATCCCATTTAGTGCGATGAAAGTATACAGTGTTACCTTGATGTCTTCTCCCACATTATTATTGTATAGAATCAATGTATTTGTTGTGGTGGAATAATTAATAGCTCTGAGAGGTATTTTTTGACAATGATTTATCTCATAATTAATCAGAATTTGCTGCAAGGAAAATGACTAAACTAATATCTTCTAGAACTAAAATTGGTGAAAATAGTAAAAATAAATTGCAATAGATGATCCTTTTTGTCTTATTTAATTTTCATGCTGCATAATTAAAGTGATACATTACACTTTGAAAGTAATAGTAATGTTAGATTTTCAACATTTCCGAAACATGTCCGAAGCATAGTTAGTTGTATATTAGTTTATATCTTTGCAGACAAATTTGAAAATTAATATCTGAAATTTCTTGAAATCAGCATGATTAGCAAGGATAAGACAATATTGTACTTTAATTCATTCTAAATGGTCAGTCAGACAGCAATTTAGTAAGCAACATGTAGAAATTTGTTTTTAATTTTTTGTTTATTTGCAAATTAACATGAAAAAATAAACGCATCTATATTTTGGAAGATAATAAAAATGTAAGCTTCATTCTTCAAAAAATTGCGTTATATTTGACGACTAATTTTTTTCTACACAATTTATATAGTCTATTTAAATTTGAAGGATTAATACTTTTCAGCGTAATTTTAACCAAAAAAAAAAACTGCGCTTTCGCATCTTTTATGCGAAGGGATAGAAGAAGAAAAAATATAATCAATTATTTGTTAACCCTTACAGTCATATAACCAATGAAATTGATTACCATTGGATATTTGTAAAATCATATTTGTGAAAGTTTATGAAGTGATAAATTGTCGATCTATAAATGAAGTAATAAATATCACCTAACTTTCCCCCTTCAATTGTAGTTTCAGATAGTTACTCACCATTTATTCGTTTTTTAAGTTTTCAGTCTGAAATGAAGTTCCAAAAGTTTAAACAAATAGATTACTACTAAATACTAGATTCTATATGAAACTGATTGTAGATTCTGGACATACAGGTGTTAATCAACTCGGTGGTGTATTTGTTAATGGTCGACCACTACCTGATTCAACCCGTCAAAAAATCGTTGATTTGGCACATCAAGGAGCTCGGCCATGCGATATTTCAAGGATTTTGCAAGTCTCCAATGGGTAGAAATGTCATTTCTCTTTTTTAGAACTTATTCTTTTAGCTACAGGAAATGTGTTAGAAAAGGAGCATGAAATAACTATTGTCTAATGTAAAAACATGTTCACTAAAGCTTGAGCTTCTCGAGAACAAACTTAACCTTCTCATTAAGCTGTAACATAGTAAGACCAGACAGAAAAACATTGGATTGAATGATTGAGCAGTTACAGCAAAAAAATTTGGGAGGAAAGTTTTATTGACGAGATCCAATTAACTTGTGAATACTGTAATAATTTTGTAAAGGACGCAATAAAACGGTTTTGTTCAGATCGCTCAAACTGATGAAAACATGAAAACCATGTTTTGTCAGTTACATAGTATTTGTTTGGACTTCATTTTATCTTGGCAAGTTTACAATGCTAAGTCTAAACGATTTTCAAATGAATTCATATTGTGGTAATCAAATAAAGTTCCTTCTTTTTCCACTTTCGAATAAATTTTAAAATCGAATGCTGCTTTATTAATAATAAACAGCTTTAGCTGTTTTTATATTCACGAATTTCTCAGCTGTGTATCGAAAATTCTATGTCGATATTACGAATCGGGTACAATTAGACCACGAGCAATCGGCGGCTCAAAACCTCGTGTTGCGACAGTCAGTGTATGCGATAAAATTGAAAGTTACAAACGCGAACAACCTTCCATTTTTGCTTGGGAAATACGGGATAAATTATTACACGAGAAGGTGTGCTCCCCCGATACAATACCTAGCGTAAGTTTTGCACTATCTAAATAATATTTCTTAAATTTCTAGTCTTTAAATTTATAATTTCCTTCAAACGCTATCTTCCTCTCAGAATTTAAAGGTTAAACATATTCAGTTTAAATTAGAAAAATACAAAATCTTAATGATGTTAAATAACTTAGCATTGTGAAAAATTCCAGCAAGCAATTAATTGAATTATATTATTCCGAGAAATGTAATGTTAGATTATGAATTATTTTGTCTTCAATACATTTTGGATTAAGTCTTTAAATTTGAATTCCATTAAAGTTAAAAGTTGAGATCTAATTTCATCTTTCTCCTTGATAATATAACTTGTAAGTGCTGATAGCCATTGCATTATGTTAATTTTGTTTCGCGAATTTCTGTGGCATACACGAAAGATTTCTATTATAATAACCGAATTAATTTTGAATCTTTCCAAAACTTAAATTAGTCATTTGATTACCATTTTCGAAAATTTCTTCCCAAATTCCTTCTATCATCAATTTTTGTACTCCTATTAAACATGGAAATACAGCAATGAATCAAATACAACTATTGATAAAACTATTGGTAAAATAACAGTATTGGAAATATCAGTGCTTTAATAATTAAGTCTTTTAAGGCTGTAGTTGAAGCTATAATTGTCATAAATTATGCAAAACAGAACAATAACCTACTGGATCGCTTTATATTACCATTTAGCAAATTAGACTGAATTTTAACACTAATAGTGACCAGCATTGTCATTTATTATAACAAAACAAGTTTGTTATAATTGCGATAATTGCTGTGAAATTTCGATAGTGGCATACGTCTTAATATTAAATCTCAGATTAGTTGCCCATGCTAGTAAAAAAATGAATTAGAGAGCAAAAATCTAGATGAAAACAAGACTTTTAAAAGTTTAACAGCAAGTATTACAGTTACAGTGCATACTTAATATACTAGTGAAAAGTTATTTGTATAATTTGAGGCATTTTTAATTAATTTAAAATTCAATTACACTGAATTAGTTTGGGGATACGAAGAACATCTTTCTAAACTAAACAACGACATTTGACAAAATTTTTGTATTAAAATAACCAGCAAATGCAGTGATTTACCTATTTTAGATCAATGATTTATTTTGTTACTAAATTAAAATAAGGCTAAAAGGATTATATGCAAAATAAAACAGATCTGGGATCTTTGGTTAAAACAACTTTATTACTTTAAATAAAAAATATTTCTTTTAGAAATTTGTCTAGTTAATAATATCTGAAAATAATTAGAAAATGTAGTAATGTTATCACATAGTACTCGGCAAATAATCAGGTATCACTTTCATTACAATAAGTAAATGGTATAATTATTCGAGACTGTTTACATCGTCTCTTCATATTTTTCAATTTGTTGGTTGATTTATTATTTTCTTGTCTCGGAAATCAAAAGGTTACTTAATTTGTGAACCTAACAAAGCAGTTAGTGAAGTGATTAATGTAATTTCTTTTTTTTTGTTTTGACAAAAGACATAAATAACTGGAAGGAATTTAAAATTTCTTTAAAAATTTATAGAATGAGTGAAAACTATCCATTAAGATGGAGTGCCCATGCTCTTAAGACTAAAATACATCTCGTATTAAGCTCAAAGGTTACAATAGTCACACTTCAGTTTGTCTTCTACTTCCTCCTTTTTTCTTGTCTTTCTTCTTTTTATCTACACTTTTTTTCTTTCTTTTTATATCACTACTGAATCTATATAAAAACGGCTAACAAAGCATTATAAGGCAGGAAATATCATACTAAGAAGTACAAGGAAGCATTAAATCACAATACCATTTCATTAATACTAAAACAAATCATTACTATAATTAATTATAGGAGATTGTATAATTTCCCAAATAAAACCAAGATTCGATAAATTTTTTCTTGTGAATGAGCAATTGTGGATTTTTATGGTTCCATTCATGGAAAAGAATAATCCATGATCTGGAGTTGCAAGGTTTGCTTAATTTAATCAAGTATTTGGGTTCGCTGAACTGAAAACTAAACTTCAAGATAGTATGAAGTATGCATGATTTACTTTTTTTAAATGTAAGAAATTCGAGTTGCAGAAAAGCAGGTGATTAAGGCAAGGTTTAACTTGTTTTCAAATTTTTTCAAAATTTTTTAAGGATAGAGTAGTCCTTGCACAAATTCACAAAATTTTCTGTTCTCCATACTACTATTTCTTCTGCTGCCACCTGACCATATCAAAATTTGAGTAAGATGATTATGTGATAGGGTGACTATTCCAGCGCACAATTGTCATAAAATAGGTTTTTATTGCAATTACTATGCGCTCAATCGGAAATGCACAGTTAGAAGAAAAAAGACAGAGCTAAAACATGGGTAGTTGTCTGCATGTGCGTATTTTAAAGGTGGTGACCTCAATGGTGAGGATGTGACATACATGTTTCACTTCATTTTTTACTGATTAACATGAGATAAGCCTAGCACGAGCAGTGCATTTCAAGTCCTATTCTAGCTGATGGCAAAGTGTTTCAACTGTGGTTTCATATTATAATAGTGATTTCACTATGCAACATATATTTAAAAACATATTCAGTTTTTGATTATGTATATGAAATTTTTTCATAATAACTAATTCAGTGTTCGAAAAAATTTTCCAGCTCCATTGTTAAATCTTTTCAAAATGGCAGTTTCTGTGTTTGATTACTCTGAAATCATCCGTTCAGAATGATTTTTTTTTTTTTTTTGATATTTTTTTTTAATCTAACATATTCCACTTATACTAGTTTAAACGTTCTTCTTTCTACAGGTGTCGTCGATCAACAGAGTACTGCGAAATCTAGCTGCAAAAAAGGAACAGCAAGCGATGCAAAATGATTTCTACGATCGGGCGCTGCGATATTCTTCAACCCAGTGGTACAATCAATGGCCGATGGGTGTACCTAGTGCCGTCGGTTTAGCGCAGTTACCACCACTGACACAGGCAAATCATCTTAATAAGAAAGATTCTGGTAAGCTTCTTTGGTACAGTAATTACAAAGGCGGTTGGAAAGAATTGTTAATTTAGTAGTTTAAAAGAAGCGACAATTTAATTGCGAGGCGTAAACAGCAATTAATAAACACTCAGATAGTAATTAATAATCGTCAAGTAATTAATAATCAGTGATCACCCTGACTAGTACAGATTTTAATACTTTCCATTTACAAATGTCAAGTTACTGATATCTTTTTTGTTTTTTGCTTTTCTTCATATACTTCATAAATTTCTCTCTTGTTAATGAAAATTTTGTTATATCAATGAACTGGAAGCAATTTAATATCAGAAAGAGTAAGTATGCATGCATGTATGTATGTTGTATGTGCAGGGTATGTGTGTACGTATGTGTTGTATCAGCCCAACAGCACCTGACATATGTCATTCCTAATTAATGTCCATTCTAAACAATTAAAGTTTACTACTTTTTTGAATTCAATCAACAAAGAAGAAAAAGCGGCCAAAAGTGACATTCCTTTACAATGAAAAGGAGCAAAACTTTTTATTTAGAGACAGTGATTAGGACGCATTTTTCAAGTTACTCAGATAACTCAGATACAATAATTCAGAAACACGCAACAGTACATTTTGGATAATTTGTCATTTAAATCTTTTCAAAAAATGATTAATGGGCCTCGACGGAAACAAATCATAGTAAACTGAACAGAAATTTCAAACAGCATAGTGCATGTCCATTAATGGTGTTGACGACTATTTGACGACGAAAAATGTAGTTCAAATCATCATGTTTCACCTTATACATGCATTACGGTACACTTCTAAAACCAGTAAGGTTCATTATTATTTTTTATTCTCACAAGTGATTGCAGAGGCTGATACTGATAACTAATAACGGAAAAAGCTATCAGAGAAAATAAATGGAATCAGGAGAGTTATTTGGAAACACAGATATTGTTTAAGTCATAAATCAGTGATCAAAGTGCTTGAAGAAAAAAATCAGTGCCTAGGAAAATTTTTGTTAATAAATGAAAACATAAATCTTGTGATCGCTACAAAGTGAAAATTGGCAAACTTTTCCCACTAATAATTTTGATTACTAATGTTTGATTTTCAGTTGTAAAATTCTTTCAACTTTATGCTGGAAACTTACATTACTTCTCACCAATTTATCAGCTTTAATGTACTATTTGTTCACCAAATATTTTAATGTCTTCCAATTAGAATTATTTTTTTTCCAAAGTTTAATGCAGCTCTGAAGATTGCATATAAATTCATGATATACATTTTGTTTTAATAGATGCATCCAACATTTGTACTCTTACCATAGCCTTTAAATTGAAGTTAGTGTTAAACATTTTAAAAGGTTTTCATTAAAGGCAAAGTATTTCCTTATCGTGTTTTCCATTTCTGTAAATCTGGCATTTTTTTGGCGACAAAGTGGCGCCGAAACTAAACCACAAAAGCAGCAGTTAAGTGTTTGAGGACGCGCAGTGCAATATTCTGATATAGATAGTTGATGACATTTCGATGCTTTGCTGTCAGTTTAAATTTTTGAATTTATCGAAAGATTTTTAAAGCTTTTGCATCAGTGAGCAATATTTAATCCTTAAAATTTTACCAAATATTCAAAAAAAAGTCAGTAATAGAATTTTTACGTCTATCTTTTGGAAATAACTTAGAACTTAAAGAAAGCTTCTTGTTAACTCGAACTCCAGGAAATATTCCAAATCTTGTACAGTTTAACATTAGTATTACTGTTTCCTGTAAACTAACAGCAAGGATCTATAGTTTTCTAAAATCTATTATCAAAATTAAATTGCAATATGAAATCTCATATACGTTTAACTCAGGTAAAAAGAATCAAGAAAAGATTCGATTTTCCAGATGATTAAGGATTCTGAAATACCCGTCCCAAAGCGCTAAGGAAATTTGAATAAGAATTTAGTGCAGTGACTCTTCAAATTACTTGAAACATCGTTATTTCTGTTTTCAAGATCAAACATCTTATCTGGACTTGTAGAGTGCTGAAATGTCTTTCTGAAAATTCTCAACTTTTGGCTTGCAAATTGTAATGCCGTTTCTAAACCCGATTTATCAGGTCCTAGGACACGAATCATTTTCAATCAATATCTCATGATTTTAAACCTTTCCATTGTTATTATTATTATTTCTTAAGCGATCGTAACACTTGAAATTAGCGAAGAGAAAGATTGCTGATGATGCTGGACTGTATCAGTTACGTTACTGGAATCTCTTGGTTGACTGCTCCCATCAAATCCCACATGAATGATTTGGCATAAGACTACAAGTGAACAGTAGTAGCTCATTATTTTATATTTCCAGAGGGGAAGTATTTTCTTATTTGCACCTACATTACGTATCATATATCAAATACTATTTCGCTTTCTAGATATCTCCTCTTATATAAGATTATAACTGAATTGAAGTAGAATGGAAAGAGCAAGTAAAAATAAAAATAGTGCAGTGGAGATGCATAGTTTCAGTGATTTACTGTTTAGGTGAGGTGAATGACTTTCAATCTACCTTACAGAAACTTCATCCAGACTATATTTTCTCGACTATTGTGTCTTTTGCCTAAAGCACGGAGTTTTATTTGTCCAAAATTCGTGATTCCATTTATGGAAGTTTCAGATTTGTGTTAACCTTCAATCTTTGCAAACTCAGTTCCAACTACTATTTGAACAAAACAATGAGCAGTAGCAGAATAGGCCGACACAATTAAAACTGCAACGAACTTGCATTTGCCATTTCTTTCGATGGCAAGAGAGCTGGTAATGAAACGTCAAGTGGAAGATGTTCAGTGAGTCGTGCGCATGCAGGGAACGCGTGCTTGTAAATGTGCGTAAGTTTGTGTATGTAGATGTATGTATATATGTGTATGTGTATGTGTATGAATGTGATTCACTACTGTCATACCTAATGATGGAAACTTGTTTCCCTTCCTGCTCTAATATCCTTTGAATTTAGGCAGAATAAAATCTGCATCTTTAGAAACTTCTCCGTTTTATACTAAAGTGATTTGTTTTTCACAAGTAATTTCTGTTTGATGTTATGAGGATTACTGGCCGATATTTCGGAACTTAAGGAAGCTTTTAAATTGGTTATTCTGGCTTTAAGAACAAGACAGAGCAAATAGTTTTATGAATCAGTTTAAATTTTCGCATTGAATGAAACTTATCAGTCTTATCAGTAAGTATTAGTTTAATATCACTGCATATAGTTAAATGGAAGCGTAGAACTTTTCCAAAAAATATTTGCAAGGCTGATAAGACATGCAAACCAAAGACCATTCAAATGTCCCATCATCTTTTTTCATTTTACTGAAATACTCCGGTTATCGAAAGTGCGCAGGCGATTTCAACTTATTTGTATAGGCCATGTTGCTAATACATATATCTTTGTGTAGAGCTCAAAGTGATAATGGAAATCAGTTTTGCGAATACAGTTATAAATGAGCGACAATTGAAGAATTTCGATTTTCAAGTCAGGTTTGAAGAACATTTTAGCGAAGAAGACACTTTTAAGTATAAACACATGCAAGACTTCGTTGTTATTTAAGATCCACATCCTTCAAAAATTATAGAGACAGCCATGAATGCGCATGTGCGGCTGCTCCGTAAAGTGGATCAATCATGTCATCTCTATCAGGTAGGCCAAGAAAGAAAAAATCTTGCGGAAATGAAATTCAACTGATAGAATAATGTATTTGAAGATATCATTCTGGACTGCATATATGAGAGGAACTGAAACTGGTGGTTATTTTGAATGATATAATTTCCAGGGTCATGCCAAGCTAAAGGATTCTGGAGAATACAAAGAGGAACATAAAGATGGAAGGAATCATGGAGTTGAAGTAACTCAACTGTTTTTGGCGAGATTCATTTTCTTAAAAGGGACGAGGGACGTGCCCATTAAATGATTTCCATTTTTAGATGTGCGGAAATAGGAGGAGGATGATGAGGGAAGGGAAGAAAGGTTGGAGTGGATGCATCCGCTATATTCCGTCAAACACATAGACACAGGCACACGCGCACTATTAACACACACATACATACACATGCACACACACGCACATACATGCATATCCCTGAAACCAGAAGTGGGATGTATTGTAGCAAATTGTTCTTTTCAAGTAACGGCAGTAAATGGATTCTTTGTGGTTCTGTGGAATCCGTGTCCCACTTAGCAATGTATTTCTTCTGATATAATATTGTGTGATAATAGAAGTTTGTAACAGATCCCGACATTTAATAACCTAGATGTGAGCATAAGTCCGGACTTCCTGAAAAAAAGTTTGGGACAAAGTTTAGAGAGCATATTGTTCCATGATTGCTACGTCGTGTCAGTAAGAAACATAAGCAAGTGGAGGGATTAAACTTGGCCAGATGCGCTAATCAATTTGACGATAATACAGACTATTGTTGGAATCATGCACTCTTTATGAAAAATACTTATTTTCTCTTATTCTAATCAAAGTTAACATAGATTAATAAAGAATAAGCCAGTAGTTGTACATCTTTAATAGCCAAGTATTGACTTTTAACAAACAACTGCCAAAAAAGCTATTAAATAAGCAGTAATCCTTAGATCTCAAAACAGCAAAATGTAAAAGTTACCTTGCCTACACTTAAGGATTTTTTGGTGTTAGAAGTGATAACTTGACGAGATTTTGATTGAGTTCGTGATGAAGATGTCGAGAACTGACGGCTGTGGGAGCGATTAAGTCATTGCTTTCCTTCTTGTGTTCAACAGATAAATAATGGAGGGAGTGTGTCGAAGTGTCACATCGCGGAGACCATTCACAGCATAATTATTAGCCAGTACATAACTTTTGTAATTTGGTGCACGTCCTCATACTTGCGACGCTAACCGTAACAATTTTTTTGAGATAATACTGCTTTATGGGTTATTTGTGATCCATTTAGTAAACTGAAGGTCAGTGTCGGTATCAGTATCATTACCGCACCGATATAGCTGCAGTATCACAGATTAAAAGGGGTATGGAACCCGATCGCCATGAGCGATGAAGTCAGTGAGTCAGTTAGTCAGTTATTCAATCAGTTAGTCAATCACTTTCTCTCACCAAAGCAATCCATCATCATGTTTGTATGGGAGCACAGCTCGTATCGTATCCATCGACCAGGAGAAGTATATATTGGCAAACTACCGTATCCGCCGCGGAGGCCCCGATACCTGCAACCGGAAATTATTTTTGGTTGCTTTACACGTCCCATGTGTTCTCTGTCCCTCCTTTTCCCGTACCTTTCTTCTTTTTTAGGAGAGCGAAGTCAGATGATATTTTCAAGAGGCACTTTTAGTAATTCATTGTGATATTTTTCTTCTATTCCACTTACCTGTTTTGCTCGTCGCGACACGACCACTGTCATCAAACTTATATTCCTGAACCCACACTGCTTCTACGGCAGGCCTGGACTCCGTTTGCTTAGCTATCCCATTTCCAGTAGCTCAGTATCTGGGTCTGGCTCCTAAACAGCACCCAATCACCATTTTCAAATATCCATTGCAAATGCAGAGTGAGTTTCGTTCTTCATTCATCAGCTGTTTTTGTTATTAGTACCTATCAAACAACTTAATTTCATTCTAACTTTTCATTCAGTCTAAATCTTTCCTTTTTTTGCTCCATTCTATTACTTACAAAAAATAAGACTGAACTACCCAACAACCTGAATGGTATTGTTTTCGGAGTTTTATAATTCTGCTGGACTTTAATATGGAATCATCGCATTTCTTAATATAATACTATCATATTTCCGTTGTATGAAGGATGAGAAATTTCTAAGAGCCTATATTGACTTGATTGAGAATCAAGAATTGTTCGAGGCATATCGGTGACGATGATAAGACACATGAGCACTTTTAATTTCTAAGAAGAACACTCTTCCAAATATTTCCTGCTAATTTTTGTAAGAGGCATAAATAATTAAATTATGGTCTTGAATAATCAATTTAAGTTTTGCCAAATAAAATTGCCACATTGAGCATATTATCATAATTCGATCAGATAGCTGAAATGCAAAATTCATTCAATAAGCGTTCTCAAACCCTAAGCATTCAGCACATCGGTGCTACAGCCAATCTTAGTGCTACCACTACTATCACGATAATTAGTGCTATTATTAATATTATTATCTAACAGCTATTATAAACAACACTGCTGCTAAAACATCCAGCCGATCACTTTTTCAACAGCTAATTCGTTTCTGCAATAATATTTGTCTCTTGACATCTTTTTGCAAAAGCTTTTTCTTTTATACCATTTTTCTTTGTTGATCTTTAACTTCTCAAGTTAATAGCAAAAATGACATAGGCCGACAATGTAAGTTGTATTTTAGATGCACAGAAAGAAATTACGAAAATTCTCCGGAAATTTCCTACTGCATGTAGATGACAGAATCTTTGTTTTTTTCTAATAATGAACGACGTATATATTCTAGCACACAACAACCTGTTTCCAAAACAGCATTTTAATTTCTAAGGCAAAGAACCAATAAAGAAATTTTTGTAATAGTTTACTTTTTTTTAATTACTATAAAATGCAAATTGAAATTGTATGCAAAGTTGTTTAATTCTTTAATTTTAATCAGCTGATTCGCTACAGTATCAGATTTTTATTACGGATAAATTTTTGGTATGATAATAGAATTTATTTAACCAATTTCTTAATTTGTACTAAATTTTCATGATCATATTACTGAAGTTTCTCTTAATTAATTCGTAGCAGCAAGCTATCAATTACTGCTGTGATTATATTTTCAGCTACTGAAATTTTCTTTTAGCAAATATTTTGGTTTTGTTGCGAAAATTTCAAGCATATGCCGATTTGCACTTTAAGCTGTAAAAAACTAATCCATGTCATATCTTTAACTCGAGAATAACCTATAGATTTGGACTGTCCTGAAGTAGATGCTAGAAGAGCACAAGCTTATTTCGTCTTTCGTATTGAAATAACATAAACTGATTGAAAATCAAAACGATGCCATAAAATTAAGACTTCCAAAAAGTATGGCTTTCTATAATTAGATATTGGTATCTCTGATTAGCTAAGATTTTAGTGAGTGAATGATTCAAAAAAAGTGAGTATATAATGCATTGCTCCTGAGTGATTGATGACTATATACGGAAAAACGTGATCTAGAAACGATGGAGTCGTTAATGCTCATAATTTCAGTAGCCCAAGATTAAACTTCCAGCCAGGCCTCAGCTGTTGAAAACCTCCATGATATGTATTTTTTATTAAACCACCTAAGGCCATAACAGAGTAGCAACTTGAATATAAAATATAAGGGAGGTTAAGTTCAGACATGTGACTGCAATTGAGTGTTTTCAGTGAGATGCGTTGCGATGGCAGCGATTGCATGTCAGCGATAACTATTCATATCTAATCAGTCAAGTTGACACATTTCATGATGATGGTGCTATTACTGTTCTTAGTAATGATTTTCAACTTGAATTCAGTCTATATTTGCATCACATTCTCTTAAAACTTCAGAAAAGAATAAAATAGCTCTAGTAGTGATGAAAAGAATACTATTTCATTTTTTTTCTGAAGACAGCAGTTCTAAAATTTTATATCAGTTTGATAGCATAAAAGCTTTTTAGTCAATTTCTAGTGAAAATGTTAGGTTTGGAGGGGAAGAAGTAATTGTATTCCAAAAATAAAATAGACTGGAAGTAATGGGCATGAATTTGAAATAAACTGGTAATGAAGTAGAAAAATGATAAAATGTGATGCAATAAATAGCATTATAGTATAACATCGATCGTTTATTACAACAACAAGATTTGATTCAGTTGCAGGACAGTTAGTTTGGTAGTGCGGGGCGGGGGAAAGATGAGAAGGAATGGGAAAAGTGGAAAAGAAGAGGTACAACCCATCGAGCATCACTGATTTGCTGTGATATAGTACTACCCATTCCCCAATACGAATTTGAACTTTTCACACACCATGCTCCCCTTAGACTCCTTTCTCCCCTCTCCATCCCTCAGCCTCATCCATCTTTACAACAAAATTTTGTCGCTGTCTGTCGCTCGCTAATTTATGTCCACTCACAAATATACAGATCATTTGGTATCAGTTGGTTATCGCGTGCTTCGATCACTTTACTTTCAAACTCTCTCTACTGTTACTTCCATCCAAATTTCAAAGCACGTGTAATGTATAACAGTTCATCAGTTGCGGTAGAAAAAACTATCGAAAATTTGAATAAACTTGGTAGGCTTCCATTCATTCTTGCTATGTCCAAAATTACTCTTTTTTCTTCGAGGAACATCGTGTACTGGAAATCAATTGTTGGTACTTACTTTCAGCATGTATTCTTTCCACTGAGTTTTTTTTCTCCAGGATATAAGGAAGTGAAATCATTTAGTCTTCATATCGAAGAATACTGATGGTGAAAAAAGAACTATAAACTCCTAGGGTACCAAGGTAACTTCAACTTCCATTCTGTAATATTTCTTTTGGTAGTACTACACTCTGCTTTTGTTCTGCACATTGCTATTAGTATTTTCTTGTATCTTTGTAGTTTTTAGACTCGTTTTTAATATTTGCAATTTTATAACAAATTTTGATGTAACATTTGATTGTGCTGAGGAGGCTGCAGAAGTCTGGTAATGTAGAGAAGCATGACAAGAATATCCCAAGAAGCTTCAAAAAATTTGGAAACGATTATGCTCATTAGAAGTAGGAATTACCGACACCTAATTACCGATATCTTAAGCAGGAGATAAATTAAACGAAACATTTTAATAGTTGGAATTTCGAGTCTCTTTCAGAAGATTCGTGTACGGTCATGCCTAATATGCACCGGCAGATCATCGAAAGGCGCGCAATAATGAATTTCTGGATACTTCTCACTGTCTTAACGAAAGTAACACGATAATTTGATTCACGAATAGCCTATTATGGCATGGATATAAAAAATCATCTGCATTTTATGAAGGGTACTAAAAAAAGGGGTGGAAATTGGCATCTGTTTGAATAAGGTATTATCGATTACTGAATCAGAGAGATTCATAAATTTAGGATTACTTGATACTGTAGCTAGTGCTAAGATGTAACTATCCAGGTGGTGACAGGTGATCATGTTCTTTTGAGCTCATAAATCAACAGCAGCGGCAACATCACCGCCGCTGCCATACTCATCCATCAGCGGGAAAGGCAGGGAAAGAAAGGAAGAAGGAAGAAACAGAAGGATTGATGACAGCATCATTTCTTTACCAAATAATTTCTATTTCTATTTGTTCATCAGTAACGGGAAGGGAACAACCAATTGTTTCGATTGTTATCAAAATATTTGGAATGCTGTCCTAGCTTTGTTGTTTAACGTATCTTTTTTATCTGTGATACTTGCTATTTCTCACTGATACATGCAAACGGAGGAAGCACGTATTGCTTAACGTTCCTGAATCAATAACTAATTTTTTGAAACATAGAAAAACTGTACCAAATCATTAAATAAATCACACTTTTAACAACGGAAGAATAACAACAGGTATTTTAAACTCATACAATTAATGAAATTTAATCTCAATACTATGAGTAACGTATAGCAGTTTAAAAAGACATCAGAAGATTTAAATGCTTGAATGCCCTGAAATGAGAGATAAATTAGATATAGTCTGAGAATGGTACTCAAATTTTATGCTTAAAAAGAACATCTAAAAGCTTTATAAAAGTGATTTAGAATTGACATACAGACATGAAACATGCATGTTACACATTTTTAACAAATACTTTGTTATTAAAGAGATATTTCATTTAGTTCTTTCTATTTTGCAAATCTGAAACTTATTATTCTGAAATTAGGATGCAAATTACTACCACAATAAAATTTCTAAACATTATTGAAGGATTTGAAATGTTATAGATGAGGATCAGAAACCACCTAATGATCCAGACGAAGATACAGCTGCAAGAATGCGGTTAAAACGTAAACTGCAGCGTAATCGTACTTCGTTTAGCCAGGAACAAATTGAAGCTTTAGAAAAAGGTTTTTTCTGCATTTTTTTTTCAACATAATTCTGCTGAAAAGTGAAAAACCGATATTTGTTGAAAATTGCGGGAACTAATTAGTAAGAACTAAAAAAGTTTGTGCAGCAATTATTTTCAAATGAATTTTTTCTCCAAAACTGAATATTGCGCATTTCATTTGAATTGTTTCGATATTTTGGACAGCATTCTATTTTTCCAAATCTTAACCTTGCTTTGTGCATGTTTCAAATCTTTGTTATTGTCCCTTCGTCACACTCAAATTATTTCAGAATTTGAGAGGACACATTACCCAGATGTCTTTGCTCGTGAGAGACTGGCTACAAAGATCGGTTTACCTGAAGCGCGCATACAGGTATAAACATATTGATATTCATATGCAAGGCCTCGTTTTTTCCTACTAAGACAACTTTTCTTATTGATAAACTAAAGAGATTTGATATTAAATGAGAGAGAGAGAGAGAGAGAGAGAGCTACAATGGATTAACTAATTTAGCATTAAATTATAAGAAAAAAACAAAATTAAAGAACTGTGTTTGATGATAGCTCTCAAAAAAAAGAAAATTCTGATCAATCCTACAATCCTGAAATTGATTTCACGTAGTAATGAACTTTGAATCATCTGAACTGTCAAAGATTAATGCTCTTTACTAACATTTTCTTTTGATTTAAGTACATGAATGATATTATTGGTCTACTTCTTCATAACTGAATAATAGTTATGCATTTCAAATAATAGAACAAAAAAATCTGATGAACGTCAAAATTATGTATTAACGTTTCATTACCGTATACAATGCTTATCACAACCTGCTGCATTAACATGGTTTGGTTATTTTGACGAAATCAAAAACGTCCCGAAGGCATCTGGAAAGGATTTATTCCTTCTATTTAAAAACTAAAATGTTCAGTTAATAATGGCAATCTATGAATCTATATTGGTTAAGAGCATTTAAATTAATTGAGAAAAAGAATAAGGGCAATTTTGGTTTGAAAAGTTTGAAATGTTGAATTTTGGAAATAATTTTCTTGTTGGAACATAAAGAAAAGCATCAGACATAGCATAAATATAACTTTTTGTTAAACAATAGCATTCAGTTTGAATAATATAATTAACTTATGTAATATTCACTCTTTGACCATTTTTATTTGCATTTGATAAATTTATGATTTACGACCAAAAAATTAGTTTAATTGATTTATCGGGTTGCTAGATTTTAAGAGAAGTACATACAGCTATGCAGTTTAATGATTTCGCTGACGGTGTTAAACGAGTCGTGATCTCACCATGTACATCTCACAGACTATTTGTATAAATAAAATCCTATTAATTTTATTTATATTTCTACTTCTTTTCGTAATTCCACCTCTTTTCAACTAAAAGTTGCTCTTTTGCGACAAGAAAATTGACCTCAGAAATCTCTCCAGATTAAATTTATTAAATGATGTTTGGATTTATGAGGGCAAAAATTCCAGTTACTTTAGGTATCAAATTGTAATAAGTGACGCTCCCTTGGTTTAAAAGGTATAATATTGGAAGCATTAAAATGGCACTAAATATTGAACTTATGAAGGATAAAGTCTGTAGATAAAGTTAAAACTTTTTACATCAAAGGGTTTAGATAAAGCTTCATATTTCTTACTGAAAATTCTTTAAGAAATGTTTATTCTTAATTTACTTCTATTTATTTTTATTTTATAAGTTACTAGTTTTGGTTTCAATTTTTTTACAAATCGAAAGCAAGTTATTTTTGATATTGACCAGAGAGGGTATATCTAGTAAACATGTTCAGGATACATAAAATTGGTAATTTGGGAAATGACAAAAAGTCAGTAAAATTGTGGACATCGAACTAGCTGTTAAACATTCTCGACGGATTCATGGATTCAATTAATACTGATATTTGTTCAGTCATCTGTGTTTATAATACAACTTAATGCAGCAGTGGAATTCCATTTGTGGTTTTTTATTGGAAATGTATAATTGCAGGTGTGGTTTTCGAACAGGAGAGCTAAATGGCGTCGTGAAGAGAAGCTAAGAAATCAAAAACGACCGCCAGGTATGGATACAGCAATGGCACCAGCTAGTTCCAATGTCAGTGCTAATAGCGCTGCCGGCAGTTCCGGCTCAACACAAGGTCAATTACCGTAGTTCTTGGCTGAAAAATTACTCAGTTCTTTTTTTGAACATAAGAGAAAACTGAGGATCAATAAATGAATGCTTTCTCTGTGGGTTGAAGTTTTACGCTGGTTGTATAACATGCTTATTAGATACGATAAATATATTATTCATATTTTCTCATTTATGATCACTTTTCTGACCGCTGTTTCTCTGTGATTCTTACTATGATTCATTTTGACATTTTTCTCATGACAGCTTCTAGTGAAGCAAATTATCTGAGTTGAATATATGCTAGCTGCATAAACTTCAAGATGTATTATTTATAAAAAAACTAATTTTCTAAATAAGTTGAACTATTTTTCCAGGTAGCTTATTAAATCCTGGAAGCACGGGTACACCTCTGGGTAGTAGTCCAACTACTACACCAGCAAGGTTTAATAATCCGGTTATTAGCAGTAACTTTGCTCCTTCCAGCACACAAATGTATCCTTTATCGCAACCTACAATGGATCCTTACAGGTAAGTTCATCAGGATTTATTTTTAGTATGAATTTTATTCAAACATTTTTATCAACTAACAAAAATGTTATCTATGAAAATACATACAAATACTTCAGAAAATGTCTTTGCAATGCCTTACAAAGTTTCAGCTTTGCAAACGCTGGATTAGGAATGGGGGCACCACAACATCCGTCTGATTTTAGTTCTTATCATATGTTTTCTGGCACTGGAAGGTCACCTTACGATGCTTTTCATGTGAGACTTTTCATTACAGAATTTCACTAACAGGAAGAAAAAAGTAAATGAATTCGAAATCACGACATTTGCCTAGTTTTATTGAGCAAATTTTAAGTTTAACAGTTATTCACTCAAAAACTAGCTGATTCTTCTTTCATTCCCTTATAATAGGTTAATATTCATCAAACTAGTCAATAATGACTGAATAATAAAGAAGGAATTTTTCATTTGAATTTTCAAACTACTTCCGTCAGTCGAAAGAGTTTTGAACTAGCATTTAATATTATTTCAGCCATATACTAGAACAGTTCAGCCAGGTGCACCACCTACATTTGCTTCTACAATGAACCATTCTTCAATCTCCAACGTTGGTGGTATGCTCTGAAGTGTTTTCATTCCATAAATCTATTAAAAATCTTAAATTCACAAGAATTTGTTAGTTTCATTAACAGATATATTCGGATGGTGCATTTTTTACCTAAAATTCTTTTCTTTTGCAACCGATTGATCATAGAAACGTTGTAGTTTATAGGATATTTTTTAAAAAATCCTCTATAGTTTAGTTTAACATCTGTTCTCTTTCTACTCCCTTATTAATATTTATTATATAAATAACGGAGCAATTTTTCCTGTTGACTAAGTTCTGTTAAAATAACGCATCTTTGAATATCAGGCTCCACTAAATTTCAAGGATTTCCAAAAGGTTTCAATAAATTAAGCAAAACTCTGTGGCGTTTGAAAAATTGAAAGTATCATTAGTAAGGATACAACTTTACAAACTTTTATGGATTGTCGTAAAATCACCCGTAAAATTAGTCTCATTAAAGCAATACAACGAATAAAAAGTTTCCGTCTCTATCTTCCGTGGTTCTAATGTGCTTTTTCAGAATAATCTTTGCTAAAGGTATTGAATTTAACAGAAAAATTCTGAAACATTGTTGATCTTAGCAATTTAGAAAAACTGACGGTAATAATATCATTTTAATTTTGCGCTTTGATTTTGGACGGAACTATTAAAATCTGGATATTAACGTTATAATGCGCTGTTCTCTTATGTGTTCTCTCACCTCAGATCTGGTTAAAGAAATAACAGCCAATATAAAAAACTGAATTTCATTGAGTTAAGCAGAATGAGGTGTAGGAAAACTTCAAAGACGAAATGTTCAGGAAAACTACAAAGTAAATATTTGAGAAAATATTTAAAAAGAGGTACAAACTAATGCTTCAGAAAAATCATCAAAACTTCTAAAAATTTTCTAAAAAATAGTTCTGAGACATCCGGGTAAAAAAGAAAGATTGCGTGACAACACATAGCGGCATTAAAACTTTTAGTGAGAAATAGTCGGCAAAGGTCTTTGAAGTTGAATGTAGTTGTCATTTATCAAGAGGTAAAAATTAATGGCAGAAGGGTAACCGGGTATGTGTGCTTTTTTGTTAAACATTTCATTTTTAACATTGCGTACTTTATTTTGAATTATGTTTTCAAAAGATCCCAAAATTCATGTCATCAGTGTGTGTCAAGTATATTTCTCCCATGTTTTCTGAAATAATTTTTCTTTTTCACAACTTTTCCGAAATAATCTCCAGTTGCGAGGAAATACCTACTACCTATATATATATATATACATACATATATGTACGTAGTAAAAGACATCCCTTAGTTAGAAATTTTATAAATCTAAATTATTTTCTCAACATATAATTTTTCAAAACCTTAAATTAGGTTGTTGCAAAAATCTCTCAAATTTCTTGCTTCTGAATACCAAATATGTTTTCCTTTAATTAATTAGAAGTTTTTGTGTGAATCGAATTGTCAGTGGTTGAAGAGCCGTCTCGCTTGACCGGCCCAAAAGAATTTTCCTATTACTTCGAGATAAAAACATGGAAGCGTTTCTAACTGTTTTTTGGTCTATTACAAATCATCTTTTATGGTTATGGCAGTCATTTTTTGAAAGTATGCAATGAAAATTTTCTTCAGTATGACATGATCACTGTCTTTACTCATATGTATTGTCGAAAAACAATTAACTTTTTCATTTAAAAAAAAGAAAAAAAACGAAATTGGCCTCACGCTACATCACTACATAGAATGGATAGGAGTCACTATATATATTGAAATGATAATACCAAAAAATAGTTATTAACGATTTTAATCTATGAATATTAAACGCTACCAGTACTTAGCAAAAATGAACAACAATATTTAACTGCAGACTAATCACTAAGATTACTCTGTTGCATTTCATTTAGATATGTCTTGCGCGGCCCCTGAGAAGTTCATGGCGTTGGTCGTCGAACCATTTTTTAACTTATCAACTGTTATTTCGATAGCAGCGTCCTTTCAATTTGTTTAATTTCTCTGAAAATATCCCTTCTCCACTTGAATATTTTTTCCCAAGTACATGTCATAAGAGATAGAAGAAAAATTGTATAAATCGTTTTTCTTTAATTAATATTATATTTCGGTTTCCTTCGCTCTCTGCTGTAATTATTTGACAATTCTTTCCCTAATTTGAAACTTGACTTGTATGAAGTAAAATTTTAATATTGTAGGTCTTGGTGCAGGCATGAGTTTGCCGGTCTCTGTATTATCAACAATTGATCAAGCAATTCCGTCGCAACAACCGCCACGATTCGATGATTTAACAGACGCACATCATGATCCACAATACTGGCGTACCAATTTTTCGTCCTAAAACGGTTGCGATATTCATCCTAGGTTTTGAATAAATGGATCGAGTAATTTTTCGCTTTATTTCATTAAGAGTTCGTGTCTTAATGAACTTTGTTCCTATACTAGGTTTGGATTGTTTTCAGTTGTATAAATTTGTGTTTATATCTTAAAAAAAAAAATCATTTAAAAAGATTTAATGCGTTAGTTCTTAGCGGTGAGGAAAGTGGATTTGGTTTTGCTATTTTTATACCCAAATACATTCCAAGGAAGGTGCTGTTTAATATCTTTGGCAAATACTTTAAGCTTTTCAAGAATCAAAAATGAACTGAAGTGACAGTGTGATATCAGAAGCAGTTTTTTTCTCCTTTTACACTTCAGAAACTTATGATTGATCAATTTTATACTTGCGGATTATTTGTAGTTTTATTTTTTTTTTTTGAAATTTTCAAAAATATTATGATTTGCTGTCAATATTCAAGAACTGGGTGCAGAATTCTTCTAGTACTTTACAAATCTGATATATATTGAGACAAGTAAGTCATTTAACTTCTCCTATTTTTCCATAAGTTCATAATTGAGTTTTTGCCAGCCCAATTATAGCTGCAGGTTCATCTGTGTATATCATATATACAGGGTTGAGAGAAATGGAGTTGAAATTGATGAGTGCTGACTTTTTATTTTAAAAGACCATTCTCAGGCTATTAAACACTTTTTTTAATTCAAGTTTTAGATTCAATTCAAAGGAATGAAATATTGTAGAGGATTCAATAAAATTGTGTTGTCGAAAATAATTTTTCAGTAAATAATTTTTCTTATTGTGAATATGTAAAAAATATCTCTTGTTTCGAATGAGTTAATGAGTTTCAAGAGAGACGAAGCGTGAATTTTGCTATAATAACCATAATTTCCACTGGTCACAACTGTTCAGCACTTAATTTTTTTTTTCGGTTTGTTAATGTCTCACTGTAGTGATGCGTGATTAAATGTTTCTTTGTCTATTATGTACTATATGGGTTGCAAGTTTTAATAACTTCATAGAATAATGTATAATCCTTTCAAGTCATTGTAGTTGTTAACTATGCTTAATTATATAAAATTACGTATTACTATTTTTATCGACCAGTATAAAATAATCTTTGTCGCATACAAAATTTGATTGAATAGACATTTGACTTTTTAAACTAAATAATTAAGCAAAACTGAAATGCCATAGTATTTTAAACGATTAAGTGAAAAGTTTTAAAGACTGTATGGAATGATTTTTTTCCTAGCATATATTGGAAAAAATGCTACCTTTTGGTTATTATACTCCTTAGTTTACTATTAGATTTTACAAATCCTTTTTTTTTTTTTTGATCCGACGAAGATATATTCGGACTTGCTGGATGCCGAAAAACGTACACATTTTGCTCTTTTGTTCAAACCAAAACACTTATGTGCTAACATTTTATGTTTGTATATGAAGTAATAGTTAGCATTCACTTATATTAATTTTTAACCATTTTTTGTATAAAAACTGGTATTTTACTCATTAGGCAAAATGAAAATATTGCAGATATGAAATATAAATATATTTCTAGTATAAATTTTTTCGATATAAGTTAAATCTTATTAAGTCTTAATTATCTTTGTTAACTATAATTTCAAAGAATCTGCAAACTTTGGTAGCTTAATATTGATTATGACCGAATGAGAGCTTCGAATAAATTTGAGAGAATAATCAACGCCTGAAACTCCATAAATTTGATAAAATGCAAAACAGTTTATACGATAATTAAAAGACAAACAGAATTATTAATGGCAAACACTAATTACACATCAAATGATAACATAACTAACAATGCAAAAAATGAATGAATTACAGAAGAAAATTCGAGATCTATAAAGAATTTTTTGGCATCAATGTGTCATAATTTGCAATAAATTATTTATTACAGAATTTGACATTTTGATTTTTCAGCCCAAGGATTGCATCGTTTATCAACGGGATTCACTAGTGGATCGTTCTCCTGTTGTCCTTCGATATATCGCTTCATCCTAAAAATTCTATTACTACAAGAATCGGACATGTAAATTATTCACACATTTTCCTCCTATGATACTCACTCTGGATATGATAGGAAAAGAGTTTCCCTTTCGTGGTCTGTTTAACTATTTCAAGCGAAATGACCAAGTCATTTACTTACTATGCTATCAGCAAAGTCAAATTTTTTCTCCTTGTAATAAATATCATCACAGTTAAAAAAGTTCTTTCCTAATGATTAAGTCTTTACTATGACAAGGCTTGAAAATAGAACTAAGCCTAAGCCCAATAAACGTTTATATAATTTGTCTACCCAGCAGTTGCGAGAGCATTTTTCGAAATATTTGGACCATACATTACTAATTCAGTAGCGACAACATAAAACAATGAATACCACAAGCCATTTAGTAACTATATTAAATGACTTGGAATGCATTCATATATATGTAATATTTATGAATGTATTCCAAGCGTTTTAATACACTTTTTAAATATATATATGTATAATTGCTTGAAAAAAAAAATACCATCAATAAAAGTCACTTTTCATGCTGAAAATTTGACCTGAAGATTTATTTATAGTTTAGTTGCAGAACGAAATTAAACTTTAAAGAAAAAAGATTTCAAACTTTCCTCAAACTTAGTAAATCTAAAATAATTTACAAACTTTATATAAGATATGTAGATTAAGAGCAAAAACAGAGATATGTATTCTAAGAAATCATTAGCATCAGAATTTTGCAAATTATCAAAGATAAGTTAAGAATAAAGTGGGAAATGATTAGCCGTAAAAATGAATCGAAGTAGCCAATTCAAAACGAACTCATTAGCTGACTGTGATACGGGTAATCTCTGAATGCTTAGCTGATGTCGTAAGCTTTCTACACTCCGCTGCATGTCGCACTTGTCCATCTCACTAAGACACGCCACAAAATGTTCGGGTAGACTCTGAAAATAAATATTTCACAGCATGCTTCTTTATTGTCGTTTACTTTAAAGACGATCAACAATATTCATGAGCAAAGAAAAATATCAGGGATGTTGCACAAAATTGTAAATATTTGACAATATTTGTAAAGATTTCGTCCTAATTCGTAACTCAAATGCCAATAATTAAAAAAGTTATCAAACATAACCAACATAGTTATTTACTCGTATAAAACTTATAAATGTTTGCATTATTTACTTTAATCTAAAATTAATGGTTTTCAAAAAAATCATTTCTCAAAGGAATCATTTAAAGCCGCTTCATGTCGCGCTTCAAACCTCAGCACACGATGGCGTGCGCATATGAAGAAATTACTGCACATTTTTGGAGCTTATATTCGAAGCTTCAGCTATAGAGTAGTTTCTGGTTACTTGATGGATTTTTAAATAACTTAACACTTTAGTTAAGAGCATAACGCTTCGGGTATCAAAAATGGAATAATTCATAAACAAAAAAGTAACCAGGATGGTTGCAATGATGGCAATTTAATTTCAAATGTCTTATTATAATTCTCAGAACGTAATTTCGTAACTTAATTACTAATAGTAATTATTATGATTATTATTAATATAATACATATTACTAACATAATTAATTATTAATATAATAATAATGATTCAATAATAATAATTGAATAATAATAGTAAGTGAATAATAATAATAGCTTTAGTAATAAATGAGAACCTAGATACAATGGCTTCAAAAACTGCTGAGAAATTGAAGTTCATGGGGCAGTAAACTATAAGTTTTTCTCGTTTTTTTTTTTTTTTTTTTCTTTTTTGCAAACGTATACCCTGAAAAAACAACGCTGATAAGACGTATATGGACTAAGTGAATTCTCGCTTTTACGAGTTCAACGCTCACCATGATTATCACTAGTGAGTAAGTTTCTCGAGCATTTAAAGGTTTTTAGTAAAGCAATAAGATCATTTCCACGTAGTTTAGATTTATAACCAAGGCCAGCAAATAGTGATAATGTTTGCTCTTCTCTTTGTGAAACTTCTTAAAATTCTGACCAAATGCAGAACAAATCACTCAGATATCAAACGTACAAAATATTATGTGTGGAGAATGCTGTTGACTGCATAGGGATCACCGCTAAGTTTAACAGAATCATAGAAAGTATAAAGTTAGAGTTTTAGTTCCCGTTAAGCTAGAATTTTTTAAAAGAAATTCCGGATATAAACTGTACTCCTCAGCAATTTTTGTGTCAAGTGGTAGAGCTAAAGTGAACTAACTATGTTTAATAGATGACGGGTTGTGTTTGAATTTTGAGTAACAGTAACAAGCTAATTTAGATTTGGCTCTAAACTTAAATCATAACTATAAATTAGTTTTATATCAGAGATAAGAGGAAATGATAAAATTATATGCTGCCAAAGTTCAGCGTGTAATCAGTTCCTTGAGTGACTTTGAGCAGAATTTAAACCATAGTGCGTCAAACATCAGTATTAATTCTCCGTCAACGTATTCCAGAAATGAAGAATTCTGATCCCTCGCCAGAATAAGGAAGAACTAACGAAGCCTGCACCTGCTGTAAAGCAACTTAATCCAGTGTATAAGATTTACGAAAGCAGCATTCATCCTGGCATTTTCCTGAGATTTAATTTCTACAGCCAAAACCTTCTACCTCAAGTTTCATTACCTTCAACATTCACTGGACTGACTTTTAAATTGTATGCCACTCAAAAGCTGTCACAACAAACTGTCGAAGCTACCACCAGAGGGAAACAGGTTCTGATTTCTTGAAGATCTGCTTTCTAGACGGTTGTAAGAAACTGAAGAAACATGTTGTGTCACCGCTCGAAAAATTATAGATCCCCTTATATTGCAAATGACGTAGTCCGATATCGATAATAATCTGCCTTTCTGCCTCTGCTTTCCTACTTCTCTCTGCAATTGTTGCCCTCCATTTGTTTGCATGAGAAACTTTTCTATCTTTGGTTCCTAGATCATAGCCGGAATAATATCTCGGTTTCACCGTAGCAAATAGCGGCGCCAACAAGCCTTTCAACAAAAAGAAATTTCGACTAAGTCGATAAAAATTATTACATTTCAATTATAGTACATAGCTTCACAAAACTATAGTTTTGATTCCACAACTATAGGAGAGGAATTAAATTTATAATAGATAGGAAGTTGGAGACATGAAATTTCTAGAGGAAAGAACATAACCTGCAATTGTTAGTGCAGAATGCAAGAGCTGATCATCTTGCACAGCACGAAAGCAGGAAGTGGAATTAAGTTGCAACTAAAAGTGATGCAAGTGTAAAAGTATTATGTTGAGCAAAGACGCATCTGATACGATTGAAACACACCATAAGTATTGTGTTATCACTTTCTCTCACACATTCATTCACTCAATGTTTATTTTTAAAAAGTATTAGGAAGTGCGAAATTTGTCAGTATTTGTGAATTTTGAGCAATAATATAACAAAAAGAGGAAGAAGGAAGATGGGATTCTTTGAATCAGTAGAAGTGGAAGTACGAAGGGCAATTATGTGTCCCAGCCATGCAAGGCTGGATTGAGAGGAGAGCTTCTCTGGCCTTGGTCTTCACTAGTCATTCGTCCAGAAGCTCATCAATTTACTGAGTGGAGGAAGTGAGGGTCCTGTTTTACTCATACTACCCTGGAATACAACCTTTCATGCCTCCACGCATGTGTCCTACCTCTCCATTCACCCGTTCTAGTCTCATTCACCCATTCCGCATACCTACTCATCCGTTCTATCTATCTATCTATCTATCTATCTATCTATCTATCTATCTATCTATCTATCTATCTATCTATCTATCTATCTATCTATCTATCTATCTATCTATCTATCTATCTATCTATCTATCTATCTATCTATCTATCTATCTATCTATCTATCTATCTATCTATCTATCTATCTATCTATCTATCTATCTATCTATCTATCTATCTATCTATCTATATCTATCTATATCTATCTATATCTATCTATATCTATCTATATCTATCTATATCTATCTATATCTATCTATATCTATCTATATCTATCTATATCTATCTATATCTATCTATATCTATCTATATCTATCTATATCTATCTATATCTATCTATATCTATCTATATCTATCTATATCTATCTATATCTATCTATATCTATCTATATCTATCTATATCTATCTATATCTATCTATATCTATCTATATCTATCTATATCTATCTATATCTATCTATATCTATCTATATCTATCTATATCTATCTATATCTATCTATATCTATCTATATCTATCTATATCTATCTATATCTATCTATATCTATCTATATCTATCTATATCTATCTATATCTATCTATATCTATCTATATCTATCTATATCTATCTATATCTATCTATATCTATCTATATCTATCTATATCTATCTATATCTATCATATCTATCTATATCTATCTATATCTATCTATATCTATCTATATCTATCTATATCTATCTATATCTATCTATATCTATCTATATCTATCTATATCTATCTATATCTATCTATATCTATCTATATCTATCTATATCTATCTATATCTATCTATATCTATCTATATCTATCTATATCTATCTATATCTATATCTATCTATATCTATCTATATCTATCTATATCTATCTATATCTATCTATATCTATCTATATCTATCTATATCTATCTATATCTATCTATATCTATCTATATCTATCTATATCTATCTATCTATATCTATCTATATCTATCTATATCTATCTATATCTATCTATATCTATCTATATCTATCTATATCTATCTATATCTATCTATATCTATCTATATCTATCTATATCTATCTATATCTATCTATATCTATCTATATCTATCTATATCTATCTAATCTATCTATCTATCTATATCTATCTATATCTATCTATATCTATCTATATCTATCTATATCTATCTATATCTATATCTATCTATATCTATCTATATCTATCTATATCTATCTATATCTATCTATATATCTATCTATATCTATCTATATCTATCTATATCTATATCTATCTATATCTATCTATATCTATCTATATCTATTCTATCTATATCTATCTATATCTATCTATATCTATCTATATCTATCTATATCTATCTATATCTATCTATCTATATCTATCTATATCTATTCTATATCTATCTATATCTATCTATATCTATCTATATCTATCTATATCTATCTATATCTATCTATATCTATCTATATCTATCTATATCTATCTATATCTATCTATATCTATCTATATCTATCTATATCTATCTATATCTATCTATATCTATCTATATCTATCTATCTATCTATCTATATCTATCTATATCTATCTATATCTATCTATATCTATCTATATCTATCTATATCTATCTATATCTATCTATATCTATATCTATCTATATCTATCTATATCTATCTATATCTATCTATATCTATCTATATCTATCTATATCTATCTATATCTATCTATATCTATCTATATCTATCTATATCTATCTATATCTATCTATATCTATCTATATCTATCTATATCTATCTATATCTATCTATATCTATCTATATCTATCTATATCTATCTATATCTATCTATATCTATCTATATCTATCTATCTATCTATATCTATCTATATCTATCTATCTATCTATCTATCTATCTATCTATCTATCTATCTATCTATATCTATCTATCTATCTATCTATCTATCTATCTATCTATCTATCTATCTATCTATCTATCTATCTATCTATCTATATCTATCTATCTGTCTATCTATCTATCTATCTAATCCATTTATCTAATTCATCTATATATCTAACCTATCTATCTAACTCAATATAATATACCAGTGCATAACCTAATTCAATAAATAAAACATCCGTCTGTTTCTCTGTTACATACACATGCAA